TTGGAAGTTTGATCCCGTCCAAAGGGCATATGATCCAATGAGCTGTACACCGGCCTCCAACGGACTGCGGACTCTAAGCCCCGTCCTGTTGTCCTGCACGTTTGGCTTCTTAGCCAAAGGCTTCGGGTGGGGACCTTGAGGTTATCTCCCTTTCTCGGTCGGGGCAACCGGGAAGTAACATGCCCACAAAACCTGTGGACATTCTTCAGATGTCTTTTTGTTCATATGCTGTAGGCCTTTTGCCAAGTCTCTTTTTCTGGTTACATTGTGAATAATAATAATAGTAATAATAATAATAATATTAATAAAAAGGTAGTAAATATTGTAAATAAAAAATAGATGGATCTGTCATGTACAGTTGATTCATATCCGTCTATTAAAATTTCTGTTCTTCTTCACTGTTTTTTATTTATTTCTATCACCAGATGATATGCGAAAACTGGCAGCAATTGCTCTATGCCACAAAAATTACCCTGACCGTTTGTACTGCTCTCCTACTCGGTGTTGGTTTAGAAGAATTTACCGAACTGGGAGCAAATTATGAACTGATATCAATTGGCTCGTTTGAACACCCGGAATCGATAGCTCGACAGTACGGAATACAAATGAAAGACTATCCGCTCCTATTGGCACTAGACCCATTCCTGGTCAAACCACGCAAGAACGCCACCGAACACAAAATGCTACCTAATTTGACGGCATTACATTGGCCCCCAAAAGTCGTGGCAAGTAGACCGGCTGGATCTGTTTACGAGAATGGCACCACAGCACCGCTTCCGCGACCATTTGAACCGATTATGAGTAATGGGCAGATAAATCTTTCACGGCGTCTACTGAAATTGTTTTCCGATCTGATGTTTGAACACGGTTACGGAGATCGGTTTTGGTTGAACGGGGGCAGTCTGGTTGGATCGTACCATCATCACAATTTCATTCCTTGGGACGACGATGTGGATGTTTTGGCAGATGTTGAATTACGACCGGAAATTCAGCGTCTTCTTAAAACGTTGGAACCTGAGTACAAGACCTATTCAATGTATGTAAGAGACAAATTGTTTTCGGAGACCATAAACCAATCACAAGCCCATCTGGATCTAGAGTACAGTCGGGCAACTTCGAATAATCCCTGGTCATGGCCGTTTCTCGATATTGGTTACTGTCGCATAGAACCGGTGAAAACATGTGAAGATCCGTGGATTCCAGGTTTAAGTGTATGCTATCCAACCTCATCGATTTTCCCTTTGATTTATCGACCATTCGGTGACGACTGGTATCCATCCCCTTCTAATGTGCCTGTCTATTTGCGTTCTATGTATCGTGAACATACTAGTTGTGTTACATTTGGCTATTCTCACATTCTGGAAAGTGGATCAAGATTTGGTCGGGTGCCTTGTCACACACTGCTTCATCGATACCCATTTGTGCGTCATCTGACGTTGCCAGGGTCACAGGTGGTTGCAAGAAACAATTCTATAGCCCAACTGTTTACAGTCGACATGGAACAGTTATCCAAACGTTCAGATTATAAATGGGATATGATTCACACACTAAGACTACCAATACAACGAGAAAATGTTGTCCAATGTATCGGCTATGGTGTTCCCGAGCCACGCTAAATAGCTTTGCGGCTGGTGTTCAGCTGAAACAAGCAAATACTAAGCCCAAATTTCGGCCATTCGAAATCTGCAACATTTCCATTTGATGCATGATATGCATTACCAATTGGTGTCTTTCATACGGTATTTTTCTCAGTCTAATTCGATTTATATTTCCTCTTGTTTTGTGAATGACCTTTCCTTTTGTCTGAACACATCAAACCTGTTTATGTCTTACTTTGAAAACAAAAGTGGTAATTATTCCATGTTTGTAAATTGACCATTCTTATACTGCAATTCCTATTTAGAATCGTGTGACAGGAACGTCCTCGTCTTTTAAATATTTCTCAAAATCTGTCTAGACTATCTACAAAACCTGTATTTTTGTGTACAGATTCTACATTTATCGTTGCTTTTTTGAAGTTCGAGAATGTGCACAACTCAAAACCTTGGCTAGAGAATTATAATTGTGAAACATTTTGGGGAAGGGAATACTGATTTCCATAATTTGTTCAAAATTATTAGTGATAACCGATACATTTAGTGACTGGAAGCGAAAAGTGACTGTTCAATTCATCAAAATACGAAAGAAACTTACTGAAGGAGAACTCCACTCGGTATCAATGTGTGCAGTCTTATTGTGTCCCGTCAAATAGTGCAGACAAATTAGAAGCCAATGATTAGGGCTTGTGCGATTGCGTAATCAATCTAATTCCTCTATAAAGACAGAGGGGCAACAACTTCGGACTGCTGACGCAAATTAAATCTTTGTGACCAAGAAATGTTTAATGCGCCTCAGTATGGTCGGGGCTAGGTGTCTCGGTTGCGGCTGATCACCTTCCGCTTGCACCTCGCGAAATGCTCCCATACCACCAACGACCTCAAACGGCCTATGCCTTCTCGTGATGGAGGTGTTTTCCCACCAAAGTGAGAGGACGAAAAGCCGACATCCGGAACTATAACCGGGTTGTTGGGGGGGGGGGTTGATGGTGGTTCACCTAGGGGAATTGGCAAAACCCTGACTTCAAACTAACCACGAGAAGGCGTACACACACACCCTACCGGTTGCGACAGTGGTTAGCCCTAGTTTAGCACTCTGTTTGGGATATGATATTGTATCACTTGTTCAGGTAACGCTACTTGGACGAATATCGCATTAGGGTAACTGCGTCCCCCGAACGAAGTAGCGCGGGAAAACGACCATCACATGAATGATCGAGGATGCGTATCTTTCCGCTGATTTGCAGGACTCAGTACCGTTTGTGGCAATTGTACATGCAACCACTTCACCGAGCAGCGGAAACTTAAAATATTCTCTTATACCTAAATATAATTTCGGTAAATAACGGACAGCAGAGCCGCCAAGCACTGAACGATATGCAAAAGTAAAAGTCTAGATTGGACTACTCCGATTTGCGGGGTTTACGAGATACCCATATCGATGCTGCATCATTCATCCGCCTCATCCCATTCATCATCATATAATCATCATCGTCATCATCATCATGATACAGCGTAATACAATGAAGCAAACTTAACTAATCCCTATCAAACTCACTATTCGTACCAACTAAGTGGAATGTGTAAGCAGGATAGGGATTTGGTTTACTTTTAGGGGAGGTAAATGAAAGCGAATCTCAATGGTCAACACTGAGAATACACAGTACACAAATCGAGCATTCTGGTCTGACAAGAAATGATAACAACTTCGTCACGGCTGATATTACTGATAATCCATAAGCCCATAAGTACATTCGTTAGTCGTCACCTGAATGAAATTAGTTGAAATCCCATTCAATCATAGTATCACGCTTGGATTTTTGGCATACTTAAAGGTATAGCCCGGAGATCCCTGAAAGAATATATATATACTCTTCTATCGCTCCGTCCTCTATCGTCTGAATTACTCACATGTGCTCATGAAAGTCACACACACACACGCTAGTTGGCACTACTGTAATAAACATGAACAAAACCAAACGAACTCTATTCTATAGTCTCAACAGCAAACACCATCAGTTGTCTGACCCGTTCCATTGCAGATGTCAACATTCACATAAGCTCCGCCAAAAAGGGTTAAGTCAGTTAGCAATGAAAATTTTACAAAACCCCAATGAGGTAATCATTCCAGGCAGTTTGATGAAAAGTTCGTTTTCAATTCACGTGGGGACACGACGTTTTCACTAGAGTTTCCTTGGAGCTTAAGTTAATCGTGGATGAATTATCATGAACAAAACAATCACACCTTGTAAACCTGGCCTTTTTAACCGAGACACCCGTTGGGTTCCGCAGGTTAAGTAGATGGATAAGCACGCAGTTAATTAATCAATACAGTGACTGTAGATGGTGCATATGTTGCTGCTTCATAGACTGGTGAGCAAGCAGGGACGAGCAACACGAAGGCAGGCAGGCCAACAGAGGCTCGCAAGTCATACAGCATCCGTATGCCTTCAAGCCAGTATGCAAACAGTCAGCGAATCAATCAATCGACCACTCAATTCGGACACAGGCAAGCGCGACAAACGTCTCAGTCATTTGCAGGCCTCAACAACACCCAAACCAACTAACCTGGGATTAGTTTTCTCAAAGAATTCCCACCAAAATGTCCAAGGGGTATTGGCTGAGATCAAGAATAACACCATTGGGACAGCATAACTTCCTGTTTAGTTTGTCCACTTCATTAACATATGAAGACAATTGTAGCCAGAATGGATATTATGATCGTCAATTTTGGGTGGTCTAATTCTGCTGTAAACGTACATTTACACAATCATGCCAATCGCGTAAAAGTACGAGTTCAAATGAGTCAGCAGAACAAGTCAGTGGACATCTTAGTTGCATAATCGGGTTCGGTTCGGGGCTGAAATTGAGACGGATAACCAAATATGATAGTACGTCATGAAAGTCACGCGGTACGCAAACAACATGGTGAATGTGAATGGTCGAGAGGGAAGAAGATCACATAACGCATTAGGGTGAATGCCGTCTGGTGTAATTGCAATTCAATAAGTGCCGTGTCTGTTGGCTTGCCCAGACACCCCAAAAACCAGTCATTTCGGTCATTATGATTGACAGACAATGTTTTTTCCGTCGGATGCATCTCTCTCTGTAAGTTGAAATTAGTGGATAAAAGTGGAGTTTCGCAAAGAAAGTCATCTAGATGAAACATCAAATGATCATTGCAATCACATAAAAGCTGGTTGTGTTGTTCGATGTGGTTTTGATCACATCAGACGACGTATGGGTAGTAGGCTGTGTTGGTATATCAGTTTGCACGGGATAATAAATGGAAAATGTTTTGCTAGTGATGACGGCGTGTGATAATTGATGTGGAAAGCTTAACCAACTGCTGCGTCTTCTGTATATGCTGGCGGATAGCACTTTTCGCTATCCAATTTCACCGTGTCTCAGACAACGAAAAAGATGCTCGCGTATCCATCTTATCGATGTACCAAATGACCATGTAAAGGCAAACGGATGCATCTCAGAAGGGTAGCGGGTAGCAGTTTTCTTTGAGGTAGAACCGTAACGCTCGAGACGTCTACAAATACAGTTCTCCATAGTTTCACATCGTCTTGTCAATCTCACCTGTGACCTTAAACAAGTAAATTCCCCCTGAACTTGTCTTTGATCTGATTGGATCATATTCCGCGATCTGCGGTACTTGGAATCCTTCAAAACAGACGCGAGACTGTTCGATTACCGGCCTGTACGTTTTGTAATGCCCTTGTTTTCGCATGCAATCCATCCGTCTGGTGATGGCAAGCCTGATGTGCAGTCGAAGTTCACTGAGCCTGTCTAAGACTCGCGGCCGTAAATAAGGTGTGGTTTCTTGCTTAGGTTAGCTGGGCAAGCACTAGGTCCATTGTTGCGGCTGAACCATTTGAACGATTGATGAATGAATCCGATTGGTCGTGTGATTTTTAGGGCGGCACAGGAGGAGGACAGGTTCCGAATCCGATGCGTTGGCAGAGAATCACCACAGGAGAAGCAGTCATGGAGCGATGCACCATGTGGGAAATTCGGAATGGAAAATGCTCAAGCGATGATGACACTGGGTCAACACTTGGCTTGTTTAAGATACATGCATTATTCTTCTAAGCGGGTTCGGTAAACACGTGTCGAGTTATCTCACTAACTACGTCGGAGATGGAATTACTAATGAAAGAAAGACCAAATCTTATGGAAAAATGCATGTTTATTTTATAACAGTTATTCAACAGGTTTTCTATTCTGCAGCTTGCATAGCAAAATCCGGTGAAGATAGTTTTCTTCCACCTTCAGAATGATAGCTACTGGAATACTTTCGCACTTCTGGACGATACTCTGCTGTATGTAGCTTCTCGATCGTTTTCATTTTCGTGAGTAAACTGTTCGCTTTAGATATCCCCACAGAAAGAAATCCAAGAGGAACAGATCAGGTGACCTTGGGGGCTATTCCATTTACTAAATTGGGTGTTCCTGTGGAACTAGACGACCACAAAGCAAATTGTCCAGGAATCCAACATGTCCCATGAGTAATGGAGGATTTGGTTCAATTTCAAAGTGGAAATTCGTCATGCATATGGCAAATGAAGCGCGACTCGAAAAGCTAAGAAGTTATGAACAGCTGTTTCTATCTGGTTAGGCCCCATCAGCAGTGCGAATCCGTCGACCCAACTGGGGATCGAACCCGGGACTTCATGAGCAGAACGGAAGCACGCTACCCACTGCGTCACCGAGCAGCTGATCACCCCGGTTTTTGGTCGTGTTCCGTAGTTCAAAAATGCGGCAATTAACTAGTCAATAGATCGCGTAAAACAAGCGTGCTTCATCTCAGTGTTTTGTGAGAACTGGACCCAAGACAAATTTACTGTACCGCTTTAATATTTTTTGTTGATTATTTCTACCATCGTAGACAAGCATCAGCAAGAAGTTGGACCCCAACATAGGGAAAAGCGGGAAAAGTAAATTCCATTCAGTAGCTTTTATATTTTGATGAAAATAGACGGAAAAATCCTTATTCGCATTGAAGCTATTTG